CGATAGTTAATTGCGCGCCTAAAACAAACTACGATGTTCAAATTATTTCCTAAAACTACTTTGAGATTATTGTGAAGGCCAAGGTTGAGGAAGTTATTGGCTAGTAAATAAAGAGAAGATCATCATGAATAGTCAAAGAGTTAGCACATTTGATTCAAACAGTTGCTTACATTTGTTCCCATATACTGGTTCAATATCCCTTTAGAGCCTACATGTTTGGGCAATATTTTAATTAGGCTAAGTAGTACAATGTAAAATTTCCATTCCTAAAATTTTGACAAGTCCAGATGGGGCCGAACGATTCATACTTTCATACAAGTAATAGAATATAATGTTGGATTGTCAATCCATTCCTTCGAACAAATTTCAATGGGTTAACTCTAAGGCCCAATGACCTAGAGTGTCCAGACTGGTTTAAACAACTTCAACTGGGTCACTTTATTAGTCTAGCCCAAAGTCAACTTTGGCTACTTAATAACACGGCTAACAAAAATCAAACATCACGCAATAAATTTATAGCCATGAAACTCGACATAACATGCTCGATTATACCTTTCTGCTCAAATTTGGTTTTTAAATAACAATCATAAACACAAAGATGTTATCATCAAGTCATCAAATACTTCAAACTCATTATGAATTTACATAAACTCAGTTGATTTTCTAATGGTCATGCTATATTTATAGCACCTTGATACTAACTGGCAGTTATTACAGACTATTTTAACAACAATGTGAGAATTACAATTGATCTACTACACCAAAATTTAATTTTTTAAAGAGACAAATATCAACTAATTCCATTACAATTTCCATGTAATTGATAGCCTAGTGAACACTTGCCCCTTTTGGATATGATTTATCCATCAAAGCTTAATCCACCACATGAAGCCACCAGTTTCAGCATGATGTCAACAACAGAATTTTAGCTCTTTTGAACTTGCTGATTTGGCCAACTAGTGGCCAAATCCACATGTTATAGCTCATGGTTAGCAAGACAAACCCCAAATGACCTCAAGTAAACACCATGTTATTCATCAACAGGAGAAGAAGGGAAGGAATGACTTCAACAACTAATATTCAGAATCAGTGTTAACATGAAGAACATTTAACTAAAGAAGCGTCTTCAAATAAGGTAACTTTCAAGAGGAAAACTACAAGCATCAATGAATTAACCAAGCTACTCATACCAGATTATTTCAAGCCCTTGAACCCAAACATAGCAATAGATTAACTAGATCTGTAACAATGTAATCAAATAACTACATGAAAGGACACTCATTTATCACATATAATTGCATCTTTTGATATCATAACCTTTCAAACAGGCAGTACATTAAGAAAGGTGAAATCAGTACCTTAACAACAGCAAAAACCAGCAGCAAAAACAAGTGAAGATGCTGGCTGAAAACTTAGAGATGGAGCAGCAACCAAAACCAAACAGCAGCAGTGGAAACCAACTCAGAAAACCAAGAACCAACACTCAAACTTCTCAAAAAATTAGAGTACCGGAAAAACTAGCCTAGAAATCTAACTAGAAAAACTGAAGTTTTTAGCCAGAAAAGTTTCAGGGATTTTTCTTTGTATTCTGAAGTTTTTAGGTCAAGATATGCTAATGAATTCTCTGTCCAGAATGAGGGAGTAACCTTTTCTTTTATAGGGTATGCCAAAATAGCATCAAAATGGCATATTCTACCCTAAATTCCCTAAGTGTCAGATAGTACAACATATTTGGACAGCTGTCTATCCTTTTTCAGCCCAATTCCAGCATTTTTCATGCTGGAAATGGGGACAACTGTACAAATGCTAGAACCTTCTGATTTTTACCTAATGTAAAACCCAATTTTAACCCTTCAATTACTGATTATTTCAGTTATACCCTATATTCTGATCCTATTTTGATTCTATGGATCCCTTTAGGACCTTCTAAAACCAGCTAGGTGATTCTACATTAGGGTTCCTAGACTTGTTTCAATTGCCCCTTTTAATTCTGAAATTAGGCCTAAGGGTACCTAGGATTTGATTTAAACCATTTAAACCTAATTAACAGGTTCATCTAATTATCCCTAAACAAAATACTGAATTTGAATTTGTAGCCCAAAACAGTAGCTAAACAAAAACAGAATGCTAATGCAAATAAACCTAGAAATTACCCTAATTAGTTTGCAAATTAAACAAATTAATCAACTAAAGCTAAGGTTTCTAACAATTAATCAGAGACGGGCCAAGTAGATTGTTGACTAACTCCTAAAACTATTCTAATCAACTTTAAACTAAACATTGAATATCAAATAAACGAATATAATAGAAAAGCAAACACAAAAGAAGAAAAAAAATAGAACAGTCAATTTTATCAAAACCCCAAAAAATTAAACCTAATTAACCTAACCTTACGCAGTCGAAATTAGGCTTCAAATACTTATGAAATTCAGCATGCTTTAATTGATCTAAACAATGGATACAAACATGCAAAGTCCAACAAGCAGTAAAGAACTGACACTAAATCATGCGGGCTTAAACAAGAAACTTGAACGTGAAAGAAAATAAAAGATAGAGTAAGTAGAAAAGGAAAGAATTACCTAAGAACTCAACTGATGGACCAGTTATGAACTCAACTGATTTTATGGGGAAAAATGAACTTGGACAACCATTAATCGACTGTTCTTAGCAAGAACAGTCGACTAATGGAGGTCTTGGGGTTCAATCGACCCAGAAACTGACCAAGAAACAAAAAGGGGAAAATTAGGATTTCTAGGGTCTTAGATCTAAGATTCGAAGGGTTGGGGACTTGTTCGATAGGAATTGTGGTGATATATGGAAAGAGGAGGAGGAGACGGTTATGGGGTGTTAAATTAGTGAGGTTTGGAGGTGGTCCGCCGCCGTGAGGCGATTTCCAGTCGGCGGACCACGGCGGAGGCGGTGAAGAGAATTAGGGCGGCTAGGGTTTCTTTGGTTTGAGAGTGAGAGACGGAAATGAGAGGGGGGTCTATGGGGGTGGTCTCTGGTTCGGACAATTATATGTAAAATAAACGACCAGTTCCCAGCCGTTGGATTCGTGATGATCAACGGCTGGGATTAGGAAGGGGCGAAACGGGGTCGTTTTGGTAAGTGGGGGATTGGACCGGGTGGATTTGGTATTTGGGCTTGGAGTTTGGACGAGGTTTTAAAATTGATTGGGCCAGTTTTAAGGATTGGCCCAGTTTTAAAAGAAACAAGACCAAAAGATATATTCTTCCTATTTTCCTTTTCTTTGTTTTTTTTTCTTTCTTTTCTTTAATTAATTAAAATCCTAAATTAAATCCTAAATTGATCTAATCTGTAAAATCAAACTAATTATCTATCTATAATTTTTACAACATTAATTAATCCTAAATTGATGAAGAGAAAATTACTAATCTAATATTAAGAGCCAAAAATGTAAAATGGACAATATTTTTTTGTGATTTTTCTTTTTAATAAAGCAATTATTTAACCAATTAATCCTAAAATATGAACACAAAACCTAATATGCAATGCATGAAATTTTGATATTTTGGGGATATTTTTCATGATACTTCTCAAAAGTAAATAGGTTACAATGCAAGAAAAATAGATTCAACCTAGCAACTAAAGAACTAAGCAGCTTCATCTTCAGGAACAAGTTCTTTAGTTGAGCGGCTTGAATCCTTTGAGAGCACCTTCTTTCCATGATTGCTATTGCCAAGAGTAAATGCTTAATTTGTGTAAATAGTATTCTTTTTAGTTGTAGCAATATGTCTCTTTATATAGGTGTGAATGTGGCAAAAAATCTTCTCCAATTAATGCTCCAAAACCTAGAATATTTTGGTTAAGAAAAACCTCTCCTAATTTGATTTGATTTCCTTATATGTTTTCACCTCCTCAACCTTTTCCTTCCATGCAAGTTCATCCCTTATTTGTTAAAACCTTTTTAGAAGATAGATTTCTCCAGTTAAGATCTTTTCTTGTTGCACGCGAACTGACTTCCTTCTGGAATCCAACTTGCACAAGTATTTTCTCTTTCCACTTCTAGTAAGCATTTTGCATCATCCTGCCATGAACTTGACTCTTTTGACATCTGCATATCATATCTATACACCAGTTTAGTAGCATAGTATCTTGTTCATAAAACCCGTTCTTTCAATACAATTGATCCTAGTTTATCAATCATCAAAACACATCCATGCTAGAACATGCTCAGCTCAACACATCTAATTAATCGACAACCGTTTAGGTTAAAAGTCAAAAAGTTTATCTCTGGTTAAACTTAATATTTTTCCTATTGGTCGGGTGAAATTAATTAGGTAGCAAGAATGTAAATTCACATAAGAAAGGTTCGTATATTGGAATGGTTAAGATCGTATCGTTGATAAGTCGTAACTCTACGGACCACACTAGAAAACCTAAACCTGCACAAGTTACATAAAAGTTAAGGACCGACTCTTTTCAAGGTTAGTTTGTAAATTTAACACTGAAGAAGCCTAGAAGGTATTTCAAAAAGATATTTAAGAAAATAAAGAAAATCTGATAGGACATGTAGACGTGGGTCAAAATACAATGCACTGCGAGGCGGGGCGGGATAGGTTGAAATTTTAGGGGTTAAGACAGAATGTGCACCACCTCACACCGTTGCCATCCAATATGATAGTAGTATACATCGTAAGTAGGTGTCATAATTTCTTTATAGTTTGTCAAACAAAAATAACATTTCTATTCAAGGCAGTTGTATCAAAGGTAGCTTCCCAGTTTGAGCATGATAATTACAAGCAGATACTCAAGGATATAATAGGAAGGGTGAAATTCTTGTCTCATGGGGCCTTCTAGCAGTGGGAAAACAACCTTGTTAAAGATATTGGGAGGATGATTAGTGAGATAATTTATTATTATGTAAATGTTTGTAGCTTATTTTATACCACAAATTTTGGTTCTTTATATAATTTTGCAACCAGTCAAATAACGTCACACTAATTTTTTCTACCCTTCCTCAAGGTCTTCTTTTTTGCTTATCATTTCATGGGTTCAAATCGAGAAATTTACGATAGTGAGGGACCAAACTGACATTATCCTTTAAAGACGAAAAAGTCATCATCAGATTCTCAGAGGAAGAGCTTCAGCTAACAAAGGAGTAACAATGGCTTCCCTTCACCTTGCTATTCTTTCACTTCCCGGATCCACTTATCGGCCCACACGCAAATCGACAATTCGGTGTTCCGGTGAACAACGGCAAGCACTGTTTAACCGCATTGCCCCTGTTTATGATAACGTGCGCATCACCCCTGCTGCTGCACTAAAAAGAATCTCCATTCACTATTCAAATTATCACTTCCTATGTTTACTGTGTGCACATTTCATGCTTGCAGTTGAATGATCTCCTGAGCTTGGGTCAACACCGTATATGGAAAAGAATGGCCGTTTCTTGGACCGGGTAAAATTTCTTTCTCCTTCCGTCCTGTCCTAATTTGTGTGATAGTTGTTTGCTTATGCACGGAGTTTGAAAAAATATACCTTTGAAACTTGTGTTCTAAAATTAGACATGGATATTTGTGTGATAAATTAAAAAGGTGTCATACTTTTTGGAACGGACTAAAAATAGTAGTATCACATAAATTGGGATGGAGAGAATATTTTATATCACCTTGTAGGTAATCTACTGTTGCTGCCTATTTTATGTGATGACACTGTCACCATTTCTCATATGACACTGGAGCCAAAATCTTCTCTTTGAACATATTTTTAATATATTTTGCAAATATTTAATTAAATAAAGAGTTAATATGTAAATTAGAAAATTAAGGAATGTGTCCCAGATTGGATAATTTGACTTGTTATGTTGAAACCCTTCATATTTTTGGAATGAAGGAAAAAATGGAAGTTTAGTTGTCCTTCTTTGGGTAAAGCCTAAGGCAGATCCATGATTTAAGCAGTATGCATTCCACCGTTAAATTCTTAGCTCTGAACTTGTTTTACTTTTAAAATTAGCCGTTCAGTTGTTGAAATCTTAGTGGGTTTTCACATATATATCCATACTCGGCATTGAAAATACTGGGTTCGGATGAACCCATAACCGAAGAGCTGCATCTGTCACTAGGTAAAGCATGAGATGCTTGTGCTTTGTAAATAAATTGAGAATGGTTAACATTGAAAGAAAGTACTTAACTATTTTTTGGGAAGTGAAAACATGCTGGACATTAGGAATGTGTTTAAGTTATCCATGCTAATAGAGTAACTAATCCATGTGCACTATATTACTATACTTGGCTATTAAATTAATGAAAATCTTACACTGTTAGTGCATATTATTTAAATTCATTTAAAAGGGAAGAATGACAGGACACGGGAAAGAGGGAGTAGAAATTTCCACTTTTTTCCCTCTGTTCTTAGGCATATAATTCTTGAATTTGAACTATATTTTCGTTCTAGTTAAGCTGGAACTTTCGAGATTGTATTGCAGAGCTAAAGATGGAGACAATGTACTGGATGTGTGTTGTGGAAGTGGGGATTTGACATTTCTTTTATCTGAAAGAGTTGGACCCTATGGCAAGGTCTCCGTTTCTTTCCTTCTGCTATCTCTGGTTTAGTTTTATTGTTTTTTTATTTTTTGTTTATGTAACATTGCTGTTTTGCTGGTTATTATGCACCATTTCTGAAGCAACTCAATTCTTCCATTGACCATTCTGAGAAATTCAGTAAGCTGATCCTGTGGAATTTCCAAATGTCTTTCCTTTGTTTTATGGTAAATGAAAGCAATAAGAAAAATAGGAAAGAAAAGAAATGAATTACTGTGGCGTTGAACTATCGTGTGGAGATAAGAAGTAAGAAAAGATAACATTCTTACAAGGAAGAGAAAAAACTTGTGCCTTCATTCCTAGTTCTTTTCAAAAGGTTTCTGTAAAGTATAGAGACAATAGAGAAATCTCTCTTGTGTTATATTTAAGAAATAACAAGTATATATACAAGTACATAGAGCCTTAACTATGGAAAGAATCAAAAAGGAAATCCTATAAATCTGCTATGAATCCCTATAATTATGCTAGCTATGTATATTACATAAGATTATATCTACATTCAGATTATGTCTACATTCATTATCTAACACTCCCCCTCAAGCTGGAGCATAGATATTGATCATGCCCAGCTTGTTACAAAGGTAATCAACTCGAATTCCATTCAACGCCTTTGTGAACAAATCAGCCGGTTGCTCTCCTGTCTTCACGTAGCCAGTGGAGATCAAGTTCTCCTGAATCTTCTCACGAATAAAATGGCAGTCAACCTCAATATGCTTAGTTCTTTCATGATACACCGGATTTGACGGAATATGGAGGGCAGCTTGATTGTCACACCAGAGTTTTGCTGGTATTGGATGCTCTAACCCAATTTCAGTCAACAGATGATGTATCCACATAATCTCACATGTAGACTGTGACATAGCTCTATACTCGGATTCTGCACTAGATCGAGATACAACACTTTGCTTCTTACTCCTCCATGATACCAAGTTTCCTCCAACAAAGACACAATAACCTGTAGTAGATCTTCTATCAATTTTCGATCCACCCCAGTCAGCATCTGCAAAACATTCAATACGAGTATGATTGTGATTGCTATATAATATGCCAAGTCCAGGAGCTCCTTTCAAGTAACACAAAATCTGTTCCAAAGCTGCCCAATGTTTGACCGTTGGTGCAGACATGAACTGGCTAACAACACTTACCGCAAAAGCAATATCTGGACGAGTCACAGTAAGGTAGTTTAATTTCCCAACTAACCTCCTGTATCTCTCTGGATCGTCAAAAGGATCACCATCATCTTTCATAAGATGCACATTAGGAACCATTGGAGTACTGCAAGGTTTAGTTGCCAACTTTCCAGTTTCTGCAAGCAAGTCAAGAATGTACTTTCTCTGAGACAAAAGAATTCCCTTCTTGCTTCTATTTACTTCTACTCCCAAAAAGTATTTCAACTGGCCCAAGTCCTTTGTATGAAACCTAGTATGCAGAAAAGACTTGAGGGAAAAAATCCCAGCATAGTCACTTCCTGTGATAACAATATCATCAACATATACAACGAGGAGAATAGTGCCAGCTACTGATTTCCGATAGAAGACTGAATGATCGCACTTACTCATTTTCAACCCAAACTCCTGAACTACCTCACTGAACTTGCCAAACCAAGCTCGTGGACTCTGCTTCAAGCCATACAAGGACTTCTTCAAATGACAGACTTTCCCATACTCCCCCTGAGCAACAAAACCGGGTGGTTGCTCCATATACACTTTCTCCTGAAGATCACTGTGAAGGAACGCATTCTTGATATCCAACTGATGTAAAGGCCAATTCTCGGACGCAGCTAGAGAAATAAATAAGCGGACAGAAGTGAGTTTTGCAACCGGGGAGAAGGTGTCGGAATAATCCACCCCATAAGTCTGAGCATACCCTTTCGCCACAAGTCTGGCCTAAAGTCTTGCCACAGAACCATCTGGATTAACTTTAACAGTAAAGACCCACTTGCATCCCACTGGTTTCTTTCCCTTTGGTAAATCTACCAAATCCCATGTGTGGTTGTCCTCTAAAGCATGTATTTCCTCAAGCATTGCATCAGACCATCCGGGATGATTCAAAGCCTCCTTCACTGTTTTGGGTACGGAGATGGAGTCTAGAGAAGCAATCATAGATCTAGACGTAGAGGATAAGTGGTCATAGGAAACAAAGTTAGCAACAAAATATGTCGATTTGCAAGTACGTGTACCTTTGCGAAGAGCAATAGGAAGATCAAGATTATCTGGAGGATCAGGCAAAGAAGAATCAGATGATGCAGGAACTGGTGCGGGACATGTATCATTTGTCTCTCACCTCCGCGAATAAACTTGAACAATTGAAGGTCTTGCTGGAGCAGGTACTGAAGGCATAATAGTCGATTGGTGCTCAATAGAAGAACTGGGAGATCGAAGAGTATCATCTGATTGTTCTGTCAAAGTACGGGTAACCTGATATACTAGCCACTCATCTTCCCCCCCGGCTTGTAGAAATGGGAGGTGCATAGAAGAATGGTGTAGTCTCTAAAAATACCACATCAGTTGACACTAAATATTTGCCAAGCTCAGTAGAATAACATCGATACCCCTTCTGAAGGCGAGAATAGCCCAGGAAAACACACTTCACAACCTTGGGATCCAACTTGGTAAGAGATGGTCGAACATCTCGAACATAATATGTGCTTCCAAACACCTTAGGTTCCACCGGAAATAATGACTTATTCGGAAAAAGAATACTATAAGGCACATTACCATCGAGTACACTAGATGGCATGCGATTAATCAGAAAACAAGCCGTAGAAACCGCATCAGCCCAGAACTGTTTAGGAACCTTCATTTGGAACAAAAGTGCTCGAGCTGTCTCAAGTAGATGCCGATTCTTCCTCTCAGCAACTCCATTTTGAGAGGGTGTATCAACACATGAAGACTGATGTAATATACCATGTTGTCTCATGTAGGACTGAAATAACTCTGACATGTATTCTTTAGCGTTATCACTCCTTAGAGTACGTACTGAAGCATTGAATTGAGTTTTGACTTCAGCACAAAAGGCAGAAAAATGAGTAAACACTTCAGAGCGGCTCTTCATAAAGTAAATCCAAGTCATTCGAGAAAAATCATCTATAAAAGTGACAAAATACTTATGCCCAGTTTTAGAAACAATCGGACATGGTCCCCAAACATCAGAATGGACCAACTCAAAAGTTGACTCAGCTCGCGTATTAACCCTTGGACTTAACGAGATGCGATGGTGTTTTGCAAATCGACATGACTCACAATCCAATGATGAAATATTCTGAAACTGAGGACAGAGCTTCTTTAACAAAGGCAAAGAGGGATGTCCAAGTCGACAATGTGCTTCAAAAGGAGACACGATACTAGAGCATGCAACAGACCGTGGCTCCCATTCATCAAGAATGTAGAGATCACCAGATATATATCCTTTACCAATAACCTTCATCGTCTTAAGATCTAAAAACAAACAATGATCGGGAAAGAATACAACACAACAATTAAGGTCTTTGGTAATTTTACTAACAGAAATCAAGTTAAAGGCCAAGTTTGGTAGACTTAATACATATGACAGGGTAATAGAGGAAGTTGGTTTAACAGTCCCAGATCCAACACTGCTACAAGTTGATCCATCAGCTACAGTAACCGGAGAGGGTGCTTTATGTGAGCAAAGCTAGAAAAAATATTTGGATTACCTGTCATGTGATTTGTAGCACCAGAATCGATCACCCATTTATTGGAAGAGGTGGTAAGACATGTTTTATCTGACCCAGCAAAGGCAGTAACTGAAGAAGATTCCTTAACTGATTTATGATATTGAAGAAATTTTAGAAACTCATCCGAAACCAAGATTGTTGGACTAGGAGTTGTTGCATTATTATTCTTTACCATCATTTTTTTCCTTTCAATAACAAACTGATTAAACTAACAGAGCTCTCCGAAGCTAAAAGATACTCAAACAGATCCTGGTAGATACAAAATCAACAATCTATTGAACAGGATTCAACTTTAATAATCCACTCAACCAAATCAGAGAACCAAACGAATTTGTCCCCAACTCAAACAAAATTAGAGACCAACAAAGTTTCTGATAAGGAAAGATCCAACAGACAATATCAAGTCACTAATCGATCAGCACAGTGAGTCAAAATTAAAGATGCAAGCTTCTCACACAGGCAGCCTCCAAGAAAAATACCACAGAATTAAAGAAATCGAATAACCAATAAACCAAACTCAAACCTGACCAAACAAAGTGAGAATACGATCTGGTCTGAGGTTGTTCTTTGCCAAAATGTGGTTCTATGATCAGAGAACCACCGCAAGTCAACTGGAAATGTCAAAAAGACCTCAGATTAGCTTCCGGCCAAGGAATTTCCGGCAGCGAATTCGACTCAACTCCGGCGAGCAGTAGACCTGCTCTGATACCATGTAAAGTATAGAGACAATAGAGAAATCTCTCTTGTGTTGTATTCAAGAAATAACAAGTATATATACAAATACATAGAGCCTTAACTATGGAAAGAATCAAAAAGGAAATTCTATAAATCTGCTGTGAATCCCTATAATTATGCTAGCTATGTATATTACATAAGATTATGTCTACATTCAGATTATGTCTACATTCATTATCTAACAGTTTCCATTTCTCCTCCTTGTCTAAAAGGTACTTTTCTGTCAAACTAAATGTAACTTCCCTGGGTGCCTCGTTAACTGTTTTATAGTGACCTGTTGTTGTGTTATGAGAATCAGAAATCTACTCTTGATCTCTGTTCAGTCAATCTTTTTTTTTTTGCTAATCGACACCCTTCATAACTCGGCAAGTTCCTGTGTCGCTTGATGCATCTTCCAGTTCCTGCCTATCTGTTTCTGCTTAATGAAAAACCTCGTTGGAAATCATGGCTCCTATGACTAAGTAAGGAAGACCATCTCTCTGGCTTAAGTTTTATAGCTCCTTAGGTACTCACCGAAATGGAAAAACAAAAATTTCTTGAATGACCTTGAACCTGTTAAGATATTGTCACTTCTAGTTTGTTTAGGTCTTGATTTTAGGTTGATTTTGTGAACTGTGTTTTACCTTTTCTCCTCTAGTGAGCATCTAGGTAATAACATCATTTAGCAGTTTTCAAGTTCCATGGACTAACGTTTCCTGTTTTACTTCTTCCAAATCTCAACTTATCCTGTCCTGCATTATCACTCAACTTTCTGAATGCCAGATTTGTTTCAATATGTGAAGTTCTTCTATAATTCTTAGCCAGTTAGTTGTACTGGGATCTCAGGGTTTTGTTTCGTGGTATTTCTTATGTCAATTTCTAGACTGATGATTAATGTTTCTTTTTGTTGTCCTTACTCGTTCTTCATGTTTTTGGGTCTTTGGGTTGCTAATGGCTATTGCTTTCATTTGAGTAGGCTCCCAAAACAAACAAAAGCTGCACTTTTCACATATTTAAATGTTCCATTTTTTTTATTTATTTCAGAAATGTAACAAAAAACTGCTCATAGCAGAGCGGCATGATTCTTATGTCACTAAAATATTTATCTTCTCAGTTATTTGACTATATTTTGTGTACTCTAAATCAAGATTAATTTTTGCAATGTAAGTGGGTTACTTGATGAAGGGCAGCCTAGGCTAGTTATCTTAATTCATGAATTTTCTGATGTCAAATCTCACTGAACTGGCCTTTTTCCTTGCAGGCGGTTGGTCTTGATTTCTCAAAGGAACAATTATTAACCGCTTCGACTCGGCAGAAATTACGTTCAAAGACATGTTACAAGAACATTAAGTGAGCATTGGTAATTAAACTGTCAATTTATTCAAACAAATTACGTTTGGAAGGTTATTTGCCAACAAAAAGTTAGCAAAATCTGCTTTTAAAAATAAAATTTAGTCAAGTTCCAAACTGTTTTCACACACTACTTTTACCAGTTACATGTGCATTATCTTCTGTACTCTTACCTTCTTACTCCTTCCAATTAGCTTTTCATGTTCCCTTATTCATTGTGAAGTATTATTGCATATGATAATGAAGGTGGATGGAAGGCAATGCACTTGATTTACCCTTTCCTGACTCCTCCTTTGATGCTGTTACTATTGGCTATGGATTACGAAATGTGATCGATAGACATAAAGCTATGACAGAGATATGTCGAGTCTTAAAACCGGGTTCAACAGTATCTGTTCTTGACTTCAATAAAAGCATCAATCCCTTGAGCACCACAATTCAGGTATTTGTTGGCAGGTTAATACATTCTTTTCGCATCACCCCAAAATTTTATTTTATTATATTTATTATTTTTTCTTAATCACCCAAAAATCTGTATAAGTAAGTTATTGGTTTCATTATCTTTTGCTTTATCTGATGTAAAACTTTCTATGCTTTTAAGGGATCATTGCAGTTCCATCTGAACATTTGAAATAATGATGGGCATTAACCATCTCTGAAACACTTGTTTGTAAATTAGGAAATTCAATGGGACTTCCTTGGGTTTTTAAGGATGTAGTCAGTGCATACCTTTTTGGCCCTTATACAGAACATATTGTTACTTAGCAAAAATGATGACAACAATGGAAACAGAGTAGACTCTTGAAGCTTATCCTGTTCTTTTAGGGTACAGGAAAAGCGGGAGCAGGGGAATAGGAAGGGGAAGGGGAAGGGGAAGGAGAAGGGGGAATTTGCTTTATGAGAATTCTGAAGGATATAGAAGGGAAATAGAGATCTTCAACCGTCATAAGTTGGACAATTTTAAGTGATTGAATATTGTCTGTAGGTATATAGCTCAAGATATTACCCCACATAATGTCAGTAAAGTTGCTATACACTGAAACTGCATCCATATACATTTTCCACTTGTTTTTCTGTAAAGGCGGGACCAATATTTTTTCACATGACAAAAAGCAAGCCACTTCCTATCCATTAGATGCCGGGGATTAATCTGTTATTGTGCATTATTGGTAATTCCGTTATCTCTTTTACAGATTGTTAAGTTTGCAAACTTCTTAGTGTTTTCTTTTCCTGCTTCTCATGAGTAGTAGCATAATAATATTTATCTAATTTTTTTGTGTTCTATTTAGGAGTTGATGATTGACAATATAGTTGTTCCAGTAGCAAGTGGTTATGGCCTAGAAGATGAGTACAAATACTTGAAAAGCTCTATCAAGAACTTTCTGACAGGTCCGGCCTTTTCACCAATGTAGTTTAAGCAGTTTTCATTGACTAACCTCTACTCTAAGGGGTCGTTTGGTAGGATGCATTAGAGAAAATAATGCATGCATCAACTTTTGGTATTACTAATCTCTTGTTTGATACAACCTATTTGGTATTATCCTATGTATAACTAATACATAGCAAACCATAGTATTAGAAATACCAAGGCTATTAACCCTCAGGGGTTGGCCTGGTGGCAATAGACTTGAGCCTTGGGGTTTGCTCCCTTTCAAGGTCTCAAGTTCGAAACCCACTGGGTGCAAACAATTACTGAGGGCCATCGGACTGGGTAAAACCTGAATTAACCGTGGTGCACTTGCGGAAAACTCCTTGCCGAGGGCCTGTGCACCCCCGAGATTAGTCGGGGCTCTTAGAGACTCGGACACCCGGTGCAAATCAAAAAAAAAAAAAAGAAATACCAAGGCTATTAATGGATGCATTAGCATGGTTAATGACAAAATTATCCTTAAAGTCTCTTAAAGGTAAAGAATATGGAGGGCAGTTTTTGTAAACAACTAATTTTCTTAAAAATTCTGCAATACATTTTAATTTTTAATACACCACACCAAACAGTGGATAAGAAATAATCTCTGCATAACTAATGCTTGCACTACTAGCCCATGCATTAATAATCCCTGCATTACCAATACACTTTATTCAACACTATTCTTATACACCCTACCAAACAACCCCTAAGCAGTTCTGAAGCCTTCTGCATGCATAATGTTACGATATGTTTAATCTGATGCACCCATCGAAATGAAAAACAACCTTTCTTCATCTATTCCTTATTTTCTTCTGGAAAAACATGTTATTTTATTAATTGGGTTGTATTTTCAAATATCTTCTTGTCCAGTTTCATTTATCTCCCTTGCTTGCTTACAAAACATACTGATTAGAGCCAGAGACTCATTCTCTGGGAGAAAGATTGAGCTAAACATGATGCATTGAAGAAGAAAATAGAGGGATCACGACTTTCCAGCCATCACTATTGTAAAGGTTAAACAAAAATTTTTAAAAAAAAGAGTGCACACTGAAGTTGACATCAAATCTCTCCTTGATGAAGCGAAAAAGACTCTTAATTTAATGAAATTGCTGTATTCTTTCCTGTTGTGACTTTATTCGTGGTAAAAGGATGATTTGTGATACAGGAAACGAGTTAGAGATGTTGGCTCTTGAAGTAGGATTTTCCACTGCCAAACATTTTGAGATAGGGTTCGGACTTATGGGCAATTTGGTAGCCATCCGATAGAATGATTTCAACTGCTTCATCTTCCTCCTGCCTTCAAAAGCGAGAAAAGATGCAGTAACAAGAGGAATGAGTGGTATTTTCACCAATAAATGTTTAAAACTTTTTACATAGATTTCAATCATGCCTATTAGTGCATTGAGTATTGCACCCTGACCGACTGAAGATGTCTGATACAATATACTTTTCACCACTATTTGTTGCCTATCTCCTAGTCCTTTCCCCTCTCTATGCTATGAAAGATGCAGTGACAAGAGGAATGAGTGGTATTTTCACCAATAAATGTTTAAAACTATTTACATGGATTTCAATCATGCCTGTTAGTGCATTGAGTATTGCACCCTGACTGACTGAAGATGTGTGATATAATACACTTTTCACCACTATTTGTTGCCTGTCTCTAGTGGCGGCAAAAGGGCGGGTTGGATTGGATTTGGGCGGGTTAAAAATTGGTTGAGTAAAAATGGGTTGGGTCTCAACCCGCCCATATTTCATGGGGGTCAAAAACATGTTGGGTGTCAAATGGGCGAGTTGAATATTGGGTTAATCTATATTATATAAGTGTAATATTTTTTCAAGTGCAATTTATAATTTTTCTTTTGCTCGGATTATTTAGTAACATAAGCTTAACTGGAATAATATATACTCTTCTTCATTAAATCTATTCAGATTTGACTATCATATTATAAACTTAAGTTACTCTTCCACAAAATATGACAGTTTTCATTTAGGAAGAAAATGTGCTTAATGCGCATCAAGCAATATCACTAATAATAATGACTCTGTGCATTCTCCATTTTTTTCATATATTGTTTGCAATACAATAAAACTAAACAAATTCAAAAAATACTATAAATAGAAAGATACATTTATATTCAAAAAATATATTCAAAAAGTTCACTAGTAATATATGACTATGTACAAATTCATTGTTGAAATATGTGCTACATAACTAAAAAAAAAGATTATATTTTTAGTTGAAAAAGAAAGTACTCTTTCTACAATATGAAAAGAAAGTACACATTTTGTTGAAATGAAAGAAAATACTTTTTCTACATCATGAAAAGAATGTACTTTTTTTTGTTGAAATGAGAAGAATTATTTTTTACATCATGAAAAAAATTACTCATTTTGTTAAAATGAAAAAGAAAGTACTCTTAATAATATTTCTACCGAGTTGGGTGGGACATGGATGGGTGGGGGTGGGGGTGGGGGGTGGGGTGGGGTAGGGTGGTTTGGGGGGTGGAAGTGGGAGTGGGAGTGGGTGAGGGTGGGTTGGTGGGGATGGGGAAGATTGAAAAAGAGTTATGGAAAATGTTTTTCCTTCTCTTGATAAGGAAAATATTTTCCTCCAATTAGAGGAAAATAAGTCCACAAGGAAAATATTTTTCCAAACATTTAAGCCAAGCAAACATGAAAAAATTAAAAAATATTTTATGAAAAATATTTTCTTTCATATCAAATACACCCTTAATGTACTCTTAAGTACCTCGTTATGGAAAGTGATGTATTACAAGTGGGAAAAAATATTTTCTTTCTTAACATATACACTGTAAGAACAAATGAAAAACTATACAAATTTACTTCTACTTCTTAAACTATTTTTGGTATTCAAGTATGCATCTAGAAAGAATAAGGACGCTAAACAATACTACCTCCGTTCCAATTTATGTGAACCTGTTTGACTGGGCACGGAGTTTAAGAAAAAATGAAAAACTTTTGGAATGTGTGGTCCTAAACAAGTCAAAAAAAGGGTCCAGAATATTTGTGTGACTATAAAAGCTTCTCCTTAAGGGTAGAATTGTAAGTTTAAGTTAAATTGTTTCTAAATTTAGAAAAGGGTCATTCTTTTTGGAACGGACCAAAAAGGAAATAGGTTCACATAAACTGGAACGAAGGGAGTAATAAATAATACTTATGTATACGGTGAAATCGGAGGGTCCAATTTCTCGTCATTAAGGCACTCGGAAGATCACCTCGAAGGCTCGAGGCCGCGGGATCACCTCGAAGGCTCGAGGCCGCGGCCGAGTATCTTTCCTCGAGGGTCGACAACACTCGACCCCAGGGTAGTAATGATCACGGTAATGGTGGAAATGGGGAGTTCCCAAGGCACGCGGCTAGGTCTGACACAGTCTAGCGGGCTACTCTGAACCCGAATCAGGGCGTCATTCAGCCATCCCATCCCCATATCTATGTAATTAATGTATTTTATACTATGTGGGGATTTCCCTCCTATATAAAGGGAGTCATTGTCATTTTGTAAGCATCTGTTGCTTCAGCTGCTCCACAAGAAATATAAAACAACATTCTCTCTGCTCTCTTACATATTCTCTTGATATTATTGTTCCCATTTATTACCTTCATTATTGTTCATCATTTATTGCTTATCATTGTCCATAAAGAGCCTTCTTTGATTTTATCATAACTGTTGGTCATACTTCGTTTACCCTCGATAGCTCACAGTCGAGCCCCGGAATCGACCTCGAGGCCCTGAATCGACAAGCTCGAGGCCCCGATTGTTAACCTATCGGTTTGACCATCACCTTATCCTTAATTCTTATTTCGTTTCTAAGTCTCACATACACAGCATCAACTGCTTAACAACCGGCATAAAAATAGATCACGTATTTTTAGAATCCCATCAAATTTAATTGATGTTACCATTTTCACGGTAAACAGTTTGGCGCCCACCGTGGGGCTAAAACTAATAGTGATTATTTTCTTGTTAGTTCCATTACACAACGCACGTTATCTTCACGCTTTTTCTTGTCCAAAGATCTTTGATTTCAGGTCGGAATGTCTGATTCAGTAAACAATAACCTTGAGAACCAAACCCTCAGGGGTTGGCCTGGTGGCAATAGACTTGAGCCTTGGGGTTTGCTCCCTTTCAAGGTCTTAAGTTCTAAACCCACTGGGTGCAAACAATTTCTGAGGGCCATCAGACTGGGTAAAACCTGAATTAACCGTGGTGCACTTGCGGGAAACTCCTTGCCGAGGGCATGTGCACCCTCGGGATTAGTCGGGGCTCTTAGAGACTCGGACACCCGGTGCAAATCAAAAAAAAAAAAACCTTGAGAACCACAGAGAGAATGGTGTGGCCGTTCCAGGTGTTGGTGAGCCACCACGAAACCTTGAGAACGCACCAGGACCAATTCCGGTGGACGAAGTCTCGCGCGACGCTCAACACGTCGAAATAAGCTCCCACACTAACAGGAGCATACACCAAGGCGACCAACAAGAAGCCCAGAAAACCCCAGCCCGGGAAGAACGGGAGGTTAGCCTTCATGTTATTTTTGAAATATTGCAGGCACAACAGCTGGCTATTGCTCAGCTGCAAAGCCACTAGAAAACTCCTAGCACAGTAGCACCGGGGACAGCTCCCCCGGCCGAACAAGTACCGGGGAGATCGAGCAATAACGGGTCGATGTCCGATCCCGTCATCGTAAAGATGCTCGAGGACCTCACCAGAAGGATCGAATCGGGCGTGAAAATGATGGAAGCCAACGATAAGAAGGTCGAGACTTACAATTCCAGGGTCGACCAAATTTCAGGAGCGCCCCCGATCTTGAAAGGTGTGGACTCAAAGAAGTTCGTACAGAAGCCGTTCCCACAGGAAGCGGCCCCGAAACCCATTTCAAAGAAGTTCAGAATGCCCGACCTCCCAAAGTATAACGGAACGTCAGACCCCAACGAGCACGTCACCGCCTACACTTGTGCAGTAAAGGGCAATGACCTAAGGGACGACGAGATCGAGTCCGTCCTGCTGAAAAAGTTCGGGGAAACACTCTCTAAAGGGGCAATGATGTGGTATCACAACCTGCCCCCAAACTCGATAGATTCATTTGCCATGTTAGCGGATTCTTTCATTAAGGCACATGCTGGCGCCATCAAAGTAGCAACAAGGAAATCCGACGTCTTCAAGATTAAACAGAGAGATAATGAGATGCTGCGAGAGTTCGTATCTTGCTTCCAAATGGAACGAATGGAACTGCCACCGGTCTTTGACGATTGGGCGGTGCAGGCCTTCACTCAAGGTCTGAACGAACGAAGCTCGGTGGCTTCGAAACAGCTGAAGCAGAACCTAGTCGAGTACCCGGCGATGACTTGGTCGGATGTTCATAACCGATACCAGTCGAAAATCAGGGTCGAGGACGACCAGCTGGGGGCCCCCTCGGGCTCAGTATATCCAAGCAAGCTTCTGGCAAAAGATCCAAAACCAAACAAAGAAAGGTACTATCCATACATCGAAGATAGGAGGAACGCCCCGAGGCGCAACGTACCCCGCAACGATCGAAGGATGGACCGAGGACAGAATCCTCGGGGAATCGTCAACAAAGCCGGGTTTGATAGGCACACGGGGCCAGCAGAGGCACCTCGCCTGTCAGAATACAACTTCAACGTCGATGTATCAGACATCGTGTTCGCCATCAGCAAAATCAGAGATGCCAAGTGGCCAAGGCCTGTTCAATCGGATCCTTCGCAAAGAAATCATAACTTAATGTGTGAGTTTCACAACACACATGGCCACAGGACCGAGGATTGCCACCAGCTCCGAGAAGAAGTAGCCAGACTACTCAATAAAGGTCACCTCCGAGAATTCTTAAGTGATCGGGCCAAAAATCAGTTCCGGGAAAGAGAGGCGGCCAAGAAGAACGAAACGAATGAGCCGCAACATGTTATCCACATGATCTTGGGAGGCATCGATGCTCCACAGGAACCCGTGATGAGAAGGACGAAAATATCCATCATTAGAGAAAAGCGAACCCGGGGGTACATACTCGAAGATGCCCTCACATTCAATGAAGAGGACACTGAGGCCTTGTCTCAACCTCACAATGACGCACTGGTAATCTCTTTCCTCGTAAATACATTTCAAATAAGACGTGTACTCATGGATCCAGGTAGCTCGGCCAACATTATCAGGTCGAGGGTAATAGAGCAGCTCGCACTGCTTGACCAAATCGTGCCCGCCACTCAAGTCCTCAACGGATTCAACATGGCGAGTGAAACAACGAAAAGAGAAATCACCCTCCCAGTCAACGTGACCGGCGTGACCCAAAATGTCAAATTCCATGTCATTGAAGGAGACATGAGGTACAACGCCTTGTTTGGAAGGCCGTGGATACACTGCATGAGAGCAGTACCATCCACCCTCCACCAAATGATGAAATTCCCGACAAAGGATGGGATTAAAACTGTCTACGGGGAACAGCATGCGGCGAGGGAAATGTTTGCGGTGCACGATGTAACACCAACACCAATGCATCCACCCTCGAAGGAGCCAAAGGATAATCAAACAGTAAAATAGCGATAGCAAGCTACG